AACATCGAGAAAATTAATGCGTAAAATTAAACAAAATCCAATGGGAACTCGTCAAGAGTTGCAGGATGATTTGCTTTCATCTGGAATCTGTGTCACTAAACGGAAAATAAGCAATGAAATTCATAGGAACAATCTAAAGTCAATAAAACTCCACTGGTATTGAAAAGACAGAGATACCAGGTTGAAATTCGTTCGTGAACATAGACAAGGTAAAAACGTATTTGGAAAGAGTATTATGGACAGACGAAACCAAAATTGAGTTGTTTGGATGTAATTCTAGAAATCAGGTATGGAGACAAGATGGCGATACCTTCAAACAAAAGAACACAGTTCTAACAGTGAAATTTGGTGGTGGCAGAATCGTGGTTTGGGGATGTTTTTTCTGCAAAAGGTACTGGCAACATATCAGTAATCGATTGTAGAATGAATACCGTCGCATATCAAAATTTTTTTGTAGTAAATTTAATGATTTCAGTTGAAAATCTTGAACTCCCTCCTGATTGGATTTTCCAACAAGATAATAATCCTAGGCACACTGCAAAATCCACGAAGAAATGGCTTGCTAAAAATAATGTGAATATCCTGAAATGATCAAGTCAATCCCCAGATTTAAACCCAATCGAGAATCTGTAGAGTTTTTGAAAATTCAAATCCAATCGAGAGCTCTAACAAACATCCCGGATCTGAAGACCATATACAAAGAATGGAACAAAATATCAACCAAAATTTGCAAATCATTGAGAACTACAAGAGGTTGGTTGCTGTAGAAGTGAAGTAAGGCTATTCTACAAAGTATTAAATACAGATTATGTATTCTTTCTTGCATTGTACAAATACTTTTTTCATCCATTAAAATGGATAAATGGGATTTATTTCTATTAAATCAATTTTTTCAGTTTTCTATGCATATTTAGTTATTGTGTATTTGTGTATAGTCAATTATAATAAATTATTTTTATTCATTAGTTGGAAATACAATAAATTAAAAAATTGTATGTGTACGAATATTTGTTTCCCCCTACAGTATATATCTTGCTGTTTGTCTGTCTGTCTATCTATCTATATGTGTATATATGTCTATCTCTATTCGCGCGCGTGCGCGCGCGCGCACACACACACACACACACACACACACATATATGAGGTGTGTGAATGCATGTGGTAGTGTACTTCCACGTGTCTGTATGATTCAGTGTGTGGATATGTTTGCACTGAAGATACTATTTCTTCAAGTATGTTTATGAACGCATGTGCGTCTGTGTATGAGCATAAGTGTCCTTCGGTGGGCGAACGTGTTTTCTCTCGCTGCTTAACTACGGCTATGTTTATGTGTGAACATTTTGAAATTTCTCCCATTCAAAATAAACCATCAAACGCTACAGCAGCCTTGTACTTGATGACCCCATACATTATTACGTTAAACTACGGTTATCTTTTTTTTTTTTTTAGCATATCTGAAATTTGAGAGGAACGGTTACTGAAATAGAAATATTATTCATAATATTTTGTTTAGAATTCTTAAGCCAGTTTACTTACAAGTGATGTGCGATGTAAATGTTTCGGCGAGTTGAACAGATTGATCAGGAAGTTAGCTCATCTGACAAGTTAACCAACATTTCACATGTCTTATGAAGCATTTCGTGTTGAGAAACGGCGAGTAGCCTACCTAATGAGTTTGTGTGAATAAATGGTACAACGAGGAAAATACGGATGTAAAAGAATCGAACGTAACAAGGGTCAGGAAGTTGCGGAGAGCTATGATCGCCTACGTCCTAAATTGTCATGGTACATAAAAGATCGAAATTACTCTACTTTAAAAAAATCCTTTCCTTTATTTGAGAAAGCAATTTTACGTCTTGAAGTGACTGAAATTTTGGATAGTGCCATTTTGTGAGTGCTTATTTAGCTTAAACTTTCTCTTAGTCTCCAACAGAACTTAGGCTTTCCCGAATGTCTATAAGACATAGGGAGTAATGGGCTTCACCCTGCCATGCTAGTCTAAGATGTCAGTCTGTATTCAGAGTTGTTGTTCACCAAAACTGGTTCCTCTATAAAGGCTAGAAATTCCAGTGTACCCTACTGATTAGGAAAAGAAATGAATTCGTGCTTTTCTCAAGGGCGTTCTTGCAAAATGAACGCAATAGCCTCGATTAGAACTTAGCTGACCGATTCCATTGTCAGTGTTTGAACATTGTCAAAATTTAATGAGTTAATTGTACAGCTACTATTGCTTGAATGATAATTATGGGAAAATGATTTACCCAAATAATGAGAATATATGACTCGTTCGACGGAGGAAGGGCGTATTCAACAAAAAATCAAAAATTGCTTTTTTTCGCTGCAAATTATTCATTATATCATGTCCAAGTATTTTACAAAAAAATTAGAGCCGATTACACAATATTTCAAACTCAATTTAGGTTTATAGTTCGTAACCATGCAATGTAATGTAATTATAGTGAAATCATTAAGGTTTTTTGTCAAAAGTATTTTATTTTGGGTCGTATATTAATTTAAGATATTCCTTTTTACAGGCTATATTTTAAAATGGAATGAGATCATTTAAAATTTCGCTATTGCCCATCAAAATGACTGGAAGAAAGCGATCTAAAAACAACAATGGAAATGAAAGATAATAAAGCGTAAACGAAATAGCTTCAGTTTGTTCAACTTGGGAAACTTAGCATTGCATCCAAAGTATTCTAAATTGTTGCCAATAACAAAAGAGAAAATGAAAAATACCTAACAAATCGAATATAGCATCAAAATTCATATTTTTATTTATTTGTTATGTAACTAAGTACATAACTGTCAACAACGTTTCCGTAAAACTTGATATTTCCTGTAATAAATTTTATTAATATTGTAATATGAATATTATTATTATTTTTATTATTTTACTTAAGTGTAAGGTAGTCTTACATTTACAATTCCTTATGGCTAATCATAAAAAGAAATGTTGATCAAAACTGTCTAAAACTTTTAAGCTCGTATTGCCGCAAAATTATCAAATGTTGAATACGTTCCTCCTCCACCGAACGCATTATATCTTCTCCATGAAAAAATCGTCGTATACAATCAGAAGTGGGTTCATGTCTTTGTCAGGAAGACTGGTTGAACGTAAACAACATTGGTTAGAATTCAAACTCAGTTTTTCCGATATTCTAGATATCTGGAATTGAATACCTCGTCAGTTTTACCGCTTGAAACATGAGTTTTGTTTTTTTTTTTTTTTATTTATATTGGCTCTGTTTTGTATATTTTACTTTGAAAACTGTCTTCATAGCATTTTTTTCTTATATATAGTGATTTTCCAAGCGTAGCTCAGATATGGCACAAGGCCGAAAGTATGGGGCACCCAGTGAGGATCGAACTCACTACTCAGTCGTAATTGTTTTAGCGAGAAAAGCTTGCTAACTATTACACCACCTCGAGGTACCTAACTAGTTACTTTCTAAGCGTAGCTTAGATGGGGCAACTAGTGAGGATCGAACTTACTTTTCAGTCGTAACTGATCTAGCGAGTAAAAGCTTGTTAACCATTACACCACGCCCAGGTGGTTTTTTTCATATATATATATATATATATATATATATATATATATATATATATATATATATATATATATATATATATATATATATATATGTGTACCATATAAATACGAAGCTCGCGCTGTAAGTTTCTTTTTACTGATTACCAAGGAATTCTAAAACAAATTCTAATGCGAGATCATTAGGTCAGATTTTGGTCAAACTGAAGTAATTTTCAGTACCACCTGTCTCTCATGACAGTGCATACACAGGAAGGGACACTGCACGGTGTCTATCACTTTCACGCCTCAAGTGATCTTCAGATCACGCTTTTGGAACAACTTCTTGAACGGTTTGAGAACTTTTCAGCACCTCCATCGTATTTATACGGATTTCATATAGTGGTTTATAGATACAAATGTGTGTGTATACATATTTATCAGTAAAGATATTGGAACATATGTATACAATACATTATACATCTGAAAGCATTTACTTACGCACACACATATAAAGTGTGTTGTGTAGATTACAATAGTTTTGATTCCTATGTCCACACTGTGCCTATATTCACAAGAACACTGTTTCCATATTCTCCCATAAATATACCAAATTTTAAACCTATAAGGCACATTGAACAATTAACCAAATTAACCGGAAAAGCTTCAGGTAAATACATGTGATGCCCAAGTAAAACGATATATGTACATTAAAATATATACATACTTGTAATTACTCATGTGAAGTTAATATATAAAAAGTTTCGAGTACATATCCACCCATATCACATTGCGCACAGATACTACACTGAACCTAGTTTAACGTCTCTGGGAGTGATACCTGTTTTTTTTTTTTTTTTTTTAGGCAGTGAGCATAGATCCGTGGAAGGATCAATCCATACGTAAACAATCCAGTTATTTTTTACGGTTACTATATATCGGAATATATATATATATATATATATATATATATATATATATATATTATATATTTATATATACATTTAAATGGATAGCATTTTGATTGTATCACTACAAAAATATTAAAAAGCGTCTTTCTTTTCTAAAAAAAATAATGAAACGTGATGATTTTTTTGTGTAAGGACTTGTATATACGCGCACACAATCATGTAATTGTGTGTGCCTTGCATGTACACATGAGTGTGAATGGATGTGTATATGTGCTAAGTGACTACGTATTTGACGGTGATTAAGAAAATCTCAAAATACTCTTCTCTGAAAATATTTTTTCTAAAAAAAATTGAAAAGTGAACTGATAGCGGTATTCTTTTCTCTTTTTTTTTTTTTTTAAAAATATGTTGTGTAATTGGGGAAGATAATGTTACTTCTTTTTAATATCTTGTAATATTAAAATAAAAATTTGGCGAGCTGTTGTTACCATGGAATAAAGTTACCCGAAACCTTTTAAAATAATTCTTTCAGAAATGGATTAAAGCAGCAAATAGGCTTACGGCCATATTGCGTTGAAAAACCGATTCCCGTACGATCACCGAAGTTAAGCAACGCCGAGCCTGGTCAGTTCTTAGATGGGTGATCGCTTCAGAATACCAGATATGGATATTGCCATCTTTATCTTTGTGTAAAACAACGCTCAACCTGCTGGTAGGAATGGCCTAACAAAAATCACAGAAAAATGGATGCAGACAATTCAATATAAACAGCTGAAAATATTAAGATGATGCGAAAGTCAACAAGGAAATCAAGGAAATCTTTGAAGTTTACTTGGTTCTTTATTGTTGGTGACCTCAGCCAACTGAAGAACGACGTACGCACAATATGGGATATTTGAGAACAATGGAAGATGTGTTCTTTGTGGAATTACGGATACTAAATTTGATCAACGATTATACAATTATCTTTCTCGTTTTTGTCAACACGAGGAAATTCTTTTCGGCAAGATAGTCGGTAGCAGTTAAAATGGATTTATTACAATAATGCAAAAATAAAAATATCGTGGTTAAACCTAGAATAGCTTTCAACATCTCAATTAAAATGGAATCTAATATTGAAAGAAATTATCTGCGCTTTACGAGATATTTTATCACGGATTGCTGGAACATGGGAAAATTGTTCCTGCTCAACGCTGATGTGAGCAATTGACTTGCTTGAAGATCTCGATCATGGAATTTGCTGCAATACAACGTATTTCCTCATGTTGAAAGTGTGACACATCAGATCATGGAGGCTGGATGGAAAGTGCTTCCACATGTTGTGTACTCTCAGTATTTGTCATTTTCAGGCTCCTTATCTTCAATACTCCTTGTCTGGTCACCGGTTCTCAGATATTAAAGGTATTGGAAAATTCTTCGAAGAAAATCATCGAATTAATATCAGTATTGTTTTGTTTTGTGCGATTAAGTTTCCATGTGAGGTAGGCTAAGATTATAGAAAGCGAGTGAAAATACTTCGACTGAATAATAACATTAATTTATAGAAATAAAATCGTTTCCAGCAATCTTTTGTCAAACTATCACATAAACATAATATATGGATAGAGATGCGCATGTGCACAGATATAAACATATGAATGATTACTTTCTTTCATAACTCTACAATCTATTCACTTGTTTGAGACCGTAACTCTAAAAGCTTGAGAGAGATCAGACTTTTAAAATTTCTATGTAATTTTCATAGTCGAAATTCTTAACGCGTTGAATCCTGAAATCTGATCACGTGCCGATACACTAAAGTTCGTAAATTTCACTAATTCAGAAGTGCCTGCGTAACGGAACAAAACAAGAATCATCAGCAGCAAATGTTTCATACAAAGTTGTTCGTATGAATTGCCTTAGGCTCATTAGGGAAAATACACAATTCAGTTCACAGTAGAAAAGTTGATAAAAATGACCCCTCTATTCTAGGGCAAGCAACTGTATATTTATTTACATTTTAGAGTAATTTTATTTCTTTTCTGAATCTAATAATAATAATTCTGTAACAAACAAATGCCGATAAATGTGAAATATCTTGAGAAAAGTTGCTTAGCTGCTGACTTTCCTAATCCTAAAACACAAAGCTAATCTTTGTAGCTGCAAGTCAAGTGGTTTACACTCTCTCAGAGAACAAACAAATCGTCATCGGCTTTATCTCGTATCCAAGAATTTAATTCCTTCTTTGCTGATCGCTTCCTTTATAATGATGGCGTCGATGACTAAATTCGCCGCCAACGGGAAGATTCAGGGCGAGAAACTTCCAGTTTCACCAAAGTCTGCCCCCGTCATCTATTCGCTATCGCCGTTTGGCTTTGTAAGAGTTGGTGGTGAAAAAAAAAATCAGAGTAGAAGAAAGTGTCGATGACGATAATTTAAGGTGAACAGGAGGTGATCCACACATTTGATTTCATTATTTTCCTCTGCAGCACATATGGAATGAGACATGCAGAATCCAGTTATGGAACTGCAATGGACTGCCGCTGACTGTTATTATTTCGAGTGGCACCTTCTATAACATGTCCGTCACGCGTAGCCCTTTTCATCTGCTGGTTCAATCGCTAAGATCTGTTGTAATCATCATCCGCTTGTTCCACCTTTTGGGTCCTTGGGGTTGATCGCGCTTAATCTGAGTCCCCGTCTTCGACCTTACCGCCAAGGGTGGCTCTACCAGAAGTTTAGAACTATCGATGGCATTACTCTGAGTCATTGGACCACAAATATGCAAACAAATAAAAAAAGATATATGCATGTACAATTCAGTACAGTTTTTTTTGCCAGTTGTGTGAATAAAATACATGAAGTTTTAAATTCTGAGAATACCAGTGAAGCATTTCCCATCCATTTGACATTTTCTCGTGTTGTCATTGTAAGTGCCAATGCTTGGCAAGTGTTTCACTTGTTAGAAAAAATGTTGCCTGAAACTATTCCGACTGTAAATGAAAAGTAATTTGTAATCAAGGCCTTGCAAATAAAATATATAATAAATTTTATTATGATTCATACATTTACAATTAAATTTTAATTTAGATCTGAAAGTTATTAATAAAGAATGAGGTTTCACAGCTTTTGCGTCCTGTTATATATATATATATATATGTGTGTGTGTATGTGTAAGGTATATAAACAGTATCTACTAAATGACTCAAAGCAATGTCACCTTTGCCTAGGGAAAATAACCATACTCACTTTTCCACAACAAAATAAACTCCTAAACAAAATATCAGAGCTCATTTCCCAATTCAGACACGAAATCATATTCCTACTAAACTACCTGCAACCACATCAGGATAAAAATAAAATAAACCTATAGCCTAAATCTAATAAAAAATCAGAGCTAATGTCCCAGGAGTGTCAACAATGACCGTTGGGAATCGTTTACGCGCGGCAGGACAATGGGAACCCGTGACTCGAACCAGACTTCCACTTAGGACACTATACGTCTACAGTGGCGTCGCGAGAGGATCACTTGTGAAATAGAATGACGCTCTAAAAAGTGTTCAGTGATAAGAACATGTTTTGCCTTTATGCAGGTGATGGTAGTTTCTGTGGGCATCTTTCAATGTGTATTCAACCACGACACACAGGCCTAGCCCGTTGTCATTTTGGTGTTACGTTCCATAAGTTACAACTCGATTTTGGTATTTTATAAAAAGAACCATAATATCGTATGTACTTTTAATATGCGGGGGATCGAAAATAGATTAAAACTGAACTAGAATATTTCTAAAAATGTTTTCTAAAAAAATAATATATTTGATATACAATTAATTCATTAATGTATATCGGGCTGAAAATTGTTTAAATCTGATTATTCTCTGATTATTTGGTAAATATTTAAAACATGAAAGCGTCTTTTTGCTTCATTTCAGAAAAAACGCATCCATTTTGGTGATACCTAATAATTTGCTCTTAGAATATTGAAACAGATGTTATATAAGTTTGAATAAGATCTTAGGCGTTGAATAAATACACATAATCCATTTCATTAATTTTTATTCAGTCTAATAGCATTATAAACACATGGAAACATTTGACAAGGATAACATTATCTTTATACCAGAAAACTATTTTAATTATTTGTGAAATTCGAGAAAAAATATATTATAAAAAGGTAATCTTACAGATTGTACCTTAATAAAAAATTGTTTACCATAATGAACATGCCTAAAGTTCATTTCAAGCTGGGTATAGATAAAAAGATAGCCAAGGTGGGAATTGTCTTGGTTTAAAACAATGAATTGTGAACGTTTTCAACGGAATAATTTTGGAACAGCACTAAAACTGTTTTCAGTGCACAAGTTGAGTGTACAGACAACCATAGTAAAATCCGTTGCAACTCTTCCTAAAATGACTGTAAGCATAAACACTTTTTAAGATTACAAAAATTATCCGTGTATGCAAAAATGGGTCTGAAGTTGTGTCGAAAGATAATTTCTGATTTGTCAAACAATGGAGTAAATGTGTTGTATCAAACAGTAAGCAGAGTGGGCAGGAAATTATTATTGCAAGGCTCGATTGGAATTTTCATGTATCTACTTGGAAAAAGATAGCGATTTTTGGAATTCAGTTTTGGAGAGTAATGAGACTAAATTGTTTAGTCGGAATCATGAACATCTGTTGTTAAGTAAAAGGGAGAAGGCGAAACCCATCCCTAGTGTAAAACATACGGGTGATAATCTCATGCTTTGTGTCGTTTAATGAAAAATCGAGATAATGAAAAAAAGTGATGTTTTAAATTAAGATCTTAAAAGATTCCGCTGGGTAGCCTTTTGGAAGATGGTGTTTGACTTTCCAATATAATAAAGTGCTCTGCTGAAAAATTAGCTCAAAGACAACACGATCAATGTATTAATTTGTCCAGAAACTAGTCTGGACCCGGATCTAACACACAATTTGTGGCAATAACTTAAAATTAGGGTTCATTTAAGACAACTTATAAATTTAAAGTTAAAGCTGTTTGCTTTCGAGGAATCGAACAATATACCAAAAGAAATTTCTAGCAGATTAGTTACTAACTATAGAAAACGTTTATTTAGTTTTTCGTGTCCATAAAGAAATACATAAAAAAAATAATTACACTGTCACTTTGTAGTGTCTATAAAATAAATAAAAAAATTATAGTGCCAAAAATAATTATAATAATTATCATTAATTCACTCATTTTAAACCAATGAGAATCGGTCCCACTTTTCTCCTCTACACACACAACATTCTCATTATCAGACAAGCAATTAATACGAACAGGTCGTTAACAGGTGCGTCAACGAAATTTTAATCTTTTCCTTTTTCAGGCTATAATAGTAACATTTATTTTTTAGCACTCAACAAAAAATCGAAGGAAGAAAACATCAGACACTTGTATTTTCTAACTAAATTATCGTGGCCGACTGGTTAGACCGTTCGCCTTCTAACCGTAAGACCTGGGTTCGAATCTCATAGTCGATTTGTCAGGAAGAAGACTTCCTGGTGTTGTCAGACTGGAGGGATTGATCTCGGCGAGCGGCATGTTTTTGGAAAGTGCCTGAAAACTATACCATGGGTTGTGAGTGAATTTGGGTAGCCGGAAACTTGCTAGCACGAAATCACAAATCATCGTGGCCTTGTTCAAATTGTTAATCACG